AGGGAAGGGAGTTCCAGACATATGTTGCATTTCGTTTTGGCACAAAAACAAAAACAACAAAAAACATTTAGAGGCAACCAACAGAATTGCTGGAGTAAAAATCTTGATCGTATTTTGTTGTGTTCGCCTTAGAACAAAATTTTCGGAAATAAATTTCTAAGGCCTTAGCTTACTTTTGCTAAAAGGCACGGTTTCAGTCACACCCCAGAAACAATCTAGCCCCCCTCCCCGCTTGGTCAAAATTTAGACAATGAATTCTTGCGTGAAAATTTACTCAGCAGCTAGAAATTTGTTGGTCGACAACTGATTCAGCCTTTATTATTCCAGTTTTTGCTTCTCATGCATTTTTTATACTCAGATCAAGTTTTGTATAAAAATTTCCTCGATTTCTACGGGCTTAAAGAAAAATAGAATACATTAAAACAATTTAAAATGGGGGATCCAAAATGGCGGGTGCTTCAGATTCCTTTTTAGTAATAAATGAGGTTATTATGGCATCACTGCTATTCTTAAAGGTTATTCATATGTTAGCCACCTTCTTGATTTTATAGAATACCAAGTGGGGCCGAGCAAGTATTTTTCGCTTTATGTGTATTCCTGGATTTTCAAAAACCGGGTTAGCAAAATAATCAACTCATTTGAGACTTTTTCTTACACTAGTCCTATTCAAATTCCCGGTTTTAGAGTCACACGGTCGACAGACAAGCGTAGATCCTGACTTCACACCAGAAAAAAACGAAGTCTTGGTCAGGGTCAAAGTTCCTCAGCAATTTTGCTCTCGCCTAATTCATTTGACTCCTAAGAGTCAGTTTCCGAGGCCAAAGACTTAGTGGTCACCTTAGAAAAGCGAACAATATCGTACCTTTCTGTCTTCTTGTGGCTAAAATCATGCAGAGTGCTTATTTATGTGTTATTTTCCATATAAAGCACAAAAGAATATCATTTCTTGCGGGTTTTAACCTGATGTCTAATTCTTGGTAAAAACGAAAATGGCGGCCATTATTGGTGACGTCACAGGCCTTTCAGCAGAACCACCACCCCTAAAATATACTTCGTCTTGTTAAGAAGATCAAAGGTTTTCCACTAAAGGCAAAATCGTTTCAAAATACTGCAACACATCGAAAACTCCGGGGAGGGGTTTCATCCACCCCCCGCCTCCACCCCCCTTGTACCACACTAGGGGTATGAATTTGCGTGTACATCCGAGGGATAAGATACCGATTATTCCTCGAACTCTACCCTTTTCATATACAGCAGTTTCCGTTGTGTAGTGGTTATCACGTCCGCCTAACACGCGGAAGGTCGTCAGTTTAATTCTGGCCGGAAACAAGAACGTTGTCTTTCTTTTTTTTATTTTTTTTCTCGTTTACTTAATTAATAATTACTTTATCTTACATTACTTCTTTTTGTCGGAAACGTCATATTAGAGAAAGGTTCGCGTGCAGAAAATTCGCTAGCCTTATTAGGCTGACAAAACCTACCCTTTTGTAATAAATAGCCTTAAGAAATCATAATCGGTGGCACAATTACTTGATACATGTTATTAATCTTTGACGACACATCTCGCGTTCTTGCGATACAGCTATTTCGAGAAAGGTTGTCGGAAAATGCACCCGACAATCCCGAAAGGTAATATGGGATATGATCAGTACAAGGTTCCTGACGACTGAAGCTGTCGAACCTACTTTTGTTGCTTTCCTTTAGCACTCGCAAATACCTCTGCATGGCCTTTCGTACCAATTCTTTCAAATTTTTTATTGAAAAAAAAGAGAACTCAAAACCACCCACAATGCCTTTCAGGATTGTCGCGTGCACTTTTGCCGACAACCTTTCTCGAAATAGCTGTATGTATCTACTTCGTCGCGTCAACAAAGCAATAAAACAAGGAACAATCCAACACTGTTCAAAACGTGGGAAAAGGTCAGGGATGTTCCTTTCCTTCCCCGAAAGTTGAATCGCAAAGCAAATAAAACTGTCCACAACTCTCCAGAGCAAGTTTACAGATTACCGTTTAATTGAACCAGGTTGTTACTTAGTTCATAACAGACCTAATATTTAGCTGCTGGAAAAGGAGGGCAGGGTGTGTTCCACAACCGATGAGGCTTGCTGATGATAGTCACATAGTAGAAAAACCTGAAGAACGAGAGAAGATTGACTACTACCAGGACTTAAAAGTGGAAGTTCAAAAAGATTTGGAAGTGCAGAGGTGAAACTACAATTGGAATTTGGCCCACCAATGCTACCGGGACTCCAGATCATGCTAGATCTCAAGATAACGTTTCTTATTTTGTTCTCTTGTACAAGTTATATTAATAAACGTTTTGAGTGCTGTCTTTAAAAACGTTCTTTTAAAACGTAAGATTGACGGAAGAAATGCGAAAAGCAAATGTCATTTAGCTCCTTCCACGCAATATTTAATTGTCGTTCAGTAACAGACTTATATCAACAAGGAAATTATCCAAGGAAAAATAATGCAAAAATGACCCAGTGGAAATTATACATTATACAGGTAGAAGAAATATTATTCACGGTAAGGCGATTATCACTCTTTTTTTTTTTTTTTTTTAGGGGAACTTAATAAAAAACACAGCTAATTCTCACTACGATAAAGGGTAACGACAGAGGGCTTTACCCTCATATTTCGCTTTTCAAAAACTTATATTATATGATATTTATTGTATGCCAAGTTTTACGTCGCCGAAGCTCGAATGAATTCATATGGCGTTCGTTTACTTTGTAACATGAAATTGTTCCAACAAGCAAAAGAAAAGGAAGTTTCATTCCTTTTAGGCTTGCCGCGAATCATTTTGTTGTTTGGATTTTGCGCGGATTCCCTGTTATAAACTCATTCTTCGTTTAAAGTTGGTTGCTTCTGATTAAATTGTCTATTTATTGACATTTCTTTTTAATTGTTTGAAATGTAAGTCGTTTGACAATAATATTACGACTTTGAACAGAAAGTGAACATTTGCATCATTGTTAACGGTTTACTCCTCTCCATTTTGACCTTTACAATGTCAGTGCTTGCTTTTTATAAAATCAGGCCGATTTATTACGCGCCGATTGGCAAATAATGGTACGGATAGCGGGCAGAAGCTATCCAATTATGCAACAAGAAGAGGGTCAGGATTTCATTTTGTTATTTTAGTTTCGACGAAAATAATCCCCCTAATTAAAAAAGGGGTGTGTCATACTTGGATGAAGTAAAAGCAGATGAATCTGAATAAGAAACCAATATGCCAAATATCGTGATATTTGGCATAACTACCACTTGTGATATTTCAAAATTGTCTCAATTGTATCACAATTTTGAAATATCACTCGTACTATTTATGCCAAATGTCACTACAAATCATGCTATTACCTATACTTATACAGTCGTTTCTCTATTTCCGGGGGTTAATACAACTAAAAGGAAATAAAAATTGACTAGTATTACATATCGGCTTGGCAAACTACTGATGAAAGAAGAGTGCTCGGCAACTCTCTTAGTATATTAAGCATTCTTTTGGAAATTTTACTTATTTATAATGCGTCACTTCCAGAGTAAAAGAACATTTCCTTTCACTGGCTTTCCTTATTAAGCTGTAAGCTACACGAAACAATCCACCCAATGTTGTTCAAAGAGGTAGGTCTTGTTTGATCACCAATGTACGGCTCTAAAATCTTCTCTCGTCGAACTTCAACATGTTTAAAACTGCTGCAATGAAATGCTCACTAATGTGTTTTTCATAACATTTCCATTTTGATTGCAATTTTATTCTCAAGATTGCAAAACGAATTGCGTTTCAGATTTATAGTAGATTTAACTTGTTTTTAAATAAATCGTTGATTTTTAAAGCAAATCTGCGTCTCCATTGGAAAATTTACATGACAGAATCCAAATTATTCGATAGCATAATCCCTAGCAAATTTTAAGTTTGAGAGCAGTTAGCTGTATTATAATTATAATAATAATAATAATAATTTATTATTTACTAGGCGCAAAATAGCATTCAAATATATGATCTAACGCTGTATGGCATTTACAAATAAGTATAATCTGCAAGATTCTCTCTCAAGAAGTCACAAAATCCATCTATCTGTGATACGTATACTGGACACAATGTTTTGCGCACTGCGGGAAAGAAACATGAATTCAAAGGAAAATTGTTTCCGTGAGAGGAAAAAACCCTGTTTGACAAGCGTCAATTTTATTGAATGTCGCTTCTTTCCAATTATCGCTAAATCCGTCAGGGATGTTTTTAACATAAACAAAAATAGATTTTGTCTTGTTTGCCCAGATTTGGCCATCATTCAAGCGTTTCTTTTGCTAAGTTTTGAACATAAAACTCTAGTCGTTTAATTCAGGTAATCGTTAGCTATTCCTTTTGATTTGAAATTTCTAAAAAAAAAAAGACAAAGTGTAAGATAATATGACAAAAACAAAGTCATAAAATAGATGATGCACACCGGATAAGGATAATTTCAACAGATGCCACTTAGGGCCATCGGCATGGCATAGTGTTACAAAAATCAAACAGCTCAGATGTACATAAGAAAATTTCGGGAGAGCCAAAAAGAGAAATTGTAATTAAAAGAATAACAGTAATTGATGAAGCCGTGTTTTTTCATATTTAATTTGGCTTCATTATAGTAAATATATATAACAAGACCATATCAGGACACAAAAAGCAATAATCTGCAGCTTCAAACGATTTCCACAAAAATGTATTCAGTAGCAACTCAGTAGAACTCGACAACTAATTTTACGTTCAATTCATCATTTTTACTGCCACCAGACAACGTTTTAGAGGATGCCTACGAAATATTCTTCAAGTTTGCTTTTGGTTCTGCAGTCTACATGTTCATCGCTTCATTTTTATCCATCACCGCAAATGGTTTGTTGCTCCTGGTGTTTTTTTTCGATCCTTTGAAAATCTTCAGGAAAGCTACAACTTATTTCCTCGTAGGTCTCTCTATTGCCGATATTTTAACAGCCACGACACAGCAACCTATGTATGTATACATGTTTCACTATGATATACATTAAACATCGTGAGACTGGTAAGACATGTCAAACTCTCATCACCGTCGGTCAACATATATCTCTGGTTGCAATGAATTGTTCCTTTATAATCGTGCTTTCATTCACCATCGCGCAATTCATTGTGGTAATTTCTCCTCTAAAGTACGCACAGAAAGTTACGAAATGTCGCGTGATTATTTGCATCATTGGAATATATGCATACGCCATATTGCTGACTCTGTTGCCTAAAATGGGGGTCCACAGAGGCTCCTTATTAAAATTTGACACGATATTTCATTCTATAATTTTAACATATCTGATTATAATATTTTACGTTCTTTTATTCATCACTTTCAAGAAAAAGGCAGCCGCTTCAAGAAGTCTTCAAGAAGATCACAGGACGGAGGGTACAGGGAGGCGAACTTGTTTGGAGCGCAAGTTTATCGTTGTCAACTTTTTTCTGGTCGCCATTTTGTTTCTCTGTTCTCAGCCGGTCACTATTTTAGGGATGGTAAGTTTCTACTCCAGTGAGGATCCTAACAGTCCAGAATTTCTTATCGCCAGCCTCATCGTGGAAAACGTGCTTTACTTGAAATTCCTGCTGGACCCTTTTTTGTACGCATGGCGAATTCCAAAATATCGTCAGGCGCTCAAGATTATTCTGCGCTGGAACCACAGTAAGAATAAGAAGCGTTGCCGAGGGTCAATGTTCAGTGATTGCGCCATTGCTGAGTTAAGTTTGTCACGTGACACTGTGATCACTCTTGATTTCAAAGCTATTTCTCAGTGATAAGTGGCAGGATGGAATCTTAAGGCGACAACTTTTCCGGAATATTTCTTGCGACAGGAGGTACAACGCCAACGACGGTCACGTTGGGAACAGACGACGCCTGAAAGACTCTCTTGAAAATTATTTTTGCACCTTCTATCTGATTCACCTCAAAGTTTGATGGATCGATGGTCTTTCGATTCCAAAAATCGTATGTACTTTTTTTCTTTTTGTTTTGTTTTGTTTTGTTTTTGTTTTTGTTTTGTTTTTTTTTGGTTTTAACGGTTTTTAGATTCTTTGCAACACTTTGAAGCAGTTTTTGTAAACAGCTAATCGGGCTATAACGGAAGAGAATAAGCACGAATGAGGACTGCAATCCACGGATGTGGAAGTAAATACTCGGGAGCGTGGACTGGGATTTAGCTCACCGAACACCCAAACTGAGTGAAAATTTAAGTGAAATCATAATTTGTTCTTGTTCTTTGTAGTTTAGAGCCAGTAGCGCATGAGTATCTGATCTTGCGCAAAGCAAAACCACGTGAGCGAGAACTTCGCGTGAGGCTGAGCCCGTCAATTTTATCATATCGATGCAGTACGAACTTATCTCTGGAAGGAAACTCATTCCGGAATGAATGTCATTCCGGTATCATGTAAATGGCGTCTAAGTTATTTGGTTTGAAATCAAAGTACTAGTACTTTTTCAAAAAGTCTGAAATTGGAATTGATTTACTTGGTAATAAATAAATCTGGTCAGTTACCGAACTTGTTTGTTTGTGTTATATTTCTGATTAGATTTGAGGTTTCTCAACCTACCCCAACCCTCTCCCTCCCCAAACCTCTTCTTGTTTCCTCCTATTCCCCATTCTGTCTGTCTGAGGGTTAAAAAGCTGACTGATTCCACTCAAATTATGGTTAACCTGCAGCTGAATCCCTTTAAAGGGTTTATTTTTGCTTCCATTTCAGATGACTTGTTTTATTTTTTTATTATAATGATAATCATTATTTTTAATCAGAGGTACATTTACTTAATTTATGGCCGCTCTCCTTTTTTTTTACCCTTCTTGTTATTAGGTTGATATTTTTTTTATGATTAATTAGTTATGTTGTCTCCATCTTACTAACTAATACCTCCTATACTGGTGTCCGACTTAAGGCGTTTTAAATAGACGCTATTCAGGACTCTATAAATCGCTCTTCTTGCTTTGGTATTCATTGCTTTGCAATATCTGAACATTTCATTGAAAGTAATAAGATATTCCGATGTATGTAACGTTAACGTGGTCAAAAAATTATGCTACAAGAGATTTGTAACAGAGCGTTGGAGTATTCGTACATTTGTAGTTCGGATTACGATCAATCAATCGAACCCTTTAAATTCAAACCTCATGGTTAAAAAAAGCATTCCAGGCATCTTAATCCGAAAAACAAAAGAATCTCCCCGGCGGGGAATCGAACCCCGGTCTCCCGCGTGACAGGCGGGGATACTCACCACTATACTACCGAGGAATTGGATGCGTTGACTGTAAGCTTAATGGTCCATGCAATGGGGAAACGTCCTCTATCACTTTAAAGCAAAACTTCAAGATCCTCCTAACTATAAACGCCAAACTTACCAACTTTAATTTCCTACAATGTGGGAACAATTTACCATGGTTTTTGAGAGGCATGTTTATCAAAAAGCATCTCCCTCCGCCCCCTGGTCGCAGGAAGCAGTCTGTCGACA